AGCCCTGCCCGGATCCTGCGCCGGGTCCGGAGAATGGGCCCAGCGGCCTTCGGAAAGGGCGCCCCCTGCCGGTAACAGGCGACGAGCCAGGCCGCGCGGGGGGCCGGGGCCGGGGGCGCCGCAGCCCCTCACCCGCGTGCAGGCCCTGAGCGTCCCCCAGGGCCTGGCTCAGGGCCTCGCAGGCCCCAGACCCCGTGTCTCTCTCCATCCTCACCCCCACCCCACAGATCCGGCGTGCAGGGGGAGGGGAGGCTTGAGGCCGGCGGCGGAGAGGACGCTTCCCCAATGTCCTGTCACCCCGCCTTTCCGTCCTCCCAGGGTCCTAACGTCCAGACCACCCCTCCCGGTGGAAGACGGGGAGCCCCCGGCCGCCGCTTTGCGGCGAGTCAGGCCCCTCCTTCTGCGGACCCAGCCCTCCGGGGTGGGCGCTGCGGGGACGCAGCGCGGGCAGGTGGGAGGGAAGGTGGTGGGCTGGGCTCCTGCTGACCCTCGGGGAGGATGGAACATTACTGCTTATCCACCTGAGGCGCTGCGGCCACCCCCGCCCCAGCTGGGCTGCAAAGGGAAATGAGACTGCCAGCCCAGCACAGGCTGGGCAGTGCCATGGGCCTCCGGTGGCCCCGGAGAAAGCCTGGCTTCAAATACTGAGTCTCTCCTCTCTTAAAGCATGATCCCCTCTGAAGCCGCTGTCAATGAGTAGGGGAGGTGCTGGGGTGGATACCTGGCGGGGCGGGGGGGGGGGGGACAGTTACACATCTGCAAGAGATGAGCCTCCCCCAACGGGGCACCGAGTGCAAGCAAGCACATGTGCTTCTGCCCAGCCCCCCCGGGCCCTGGGGCCACCTCTGCCTTCCCAGGGTCTGCTCCCCAGTGTCACCTGTTCCCATCCCTTCAAATCTTGCCTAGACCCCCAGGAGTGCCCCCTAATAGTGTGCACCCCCCAGGGTCCACTCCCAGAGGTCCTCTTCCCAAGCTGGCTCACAGGACATGCCCCTGCCCCCAAACTAAGTCCCAACACCTTGGCTTCCCTTCTTGGGCCACCACAGTGAACAGGGGGTGCAGGAAGGACTCTCCTCCAGCTGCCTCACATGGGGCCGTGGGCCAGAGCAAGGACCCCACTCCCAGCCGACTGCGCAGACCCATCATGGTATCACTCTCCCCTGGGGGTTGGGCTTGGCAGGCCTGAGGGCTCAGCAACTGCTCACGGGGGTCACTCTTGATGGGACCAGCTGTCAGCTGGAGGAGGGGCCTCTGAGACCGTAGTGGTGTCTTTGAGAAAACCGAGTCCCAGAGAAGGGGGCGACCCTACCCTGATTCTACCTCCTGCCACACAGAAGTCCAGCTGTCTTCCATGTCCTTCCTGCTGGATGCCCTGCAGGGCCAGGGGCTGCCCACCTGGGCAGAACCCCGCCCCCTGGGGGCCTCGGGTGCGGTGCCTGGAGCGCCCCATCTCCCCAGATGCTTGGCCGCACATGTGGACACCTCCCCCTCCCCCCACCTCACAGGCCCCTCAGCGCGTTGCAGACCATTAATTCTGGGCTGGGTTTTCCCACATTCCCAGGAATGCTTTCCCGGGTCCCTGGCGTCCATCCCCAGAAGAGAGGGATGGCATTTGGCTCCACTGGCATGTGGGGTGGGGAGGGCTGCTCCAGGCCCTTCCCCCCCACCCAGTCCCAGGAGCCCTGGAGCAGACCAGTCAGACCCCAGGGTAGGAGTGACCCCCTCCCACGCAGGCTCTGCCGCACTCTGAGAAGGACCATATGGCCCCTCATGCTGAGCTCCTGCACCCCCTCATAGACTCCCATGCCACCCCCGTGGCTGGCTCCCCATTTGGCAGATGAGGACACTGAAGGCCAGAAGGACCAAGCCATCTGGGCTGGGTTCCAGCTCTGCCCACTACCACCCGGTCGGCAGAACTGGGCTGGGAGACCACCCTGCCACGACACGAGGGCACTAAATCCAGCCAGGGGAGGGAGAACTGGTCCAGAGGCTTCCCCTGGGCCCCCACCTTCCCAAGTGAACGTTGCTGGAGCTGCGGCTGCCTTCAGGCTCACCCAGACCAAGCTGCTGCATCCTCGCCCTTCTGGGGTTCTGGGCTGTTTGTGCGGGGCAGAGGGCTGGCCTCCCTTGTGAGGCAGTGGGAGGAAGGGGCAGCTGCCACGGCCCTTGGGGGCTCCTGCAGGCACGAGGCTGCAGTGGGAGGCCCTAGCAAAGCGGCTGAGCTGGGCAGGTGTCCCAGAGCCAGGGACCAGGCTCTGCCAGAGGCATGGGCTCAAGGAGGGATCTGCAGAGGGGCTTATGGGGGTGCCTTGTGCTTCAGGCCCCCCTGAGGAGAAGGCCATCCCCCCTGCAGACACGGGCCATGTTCACCTCCAGGGAGCTGCTGCTGGTGTGGTTCCTGGTGCTGGCAGTGGGTGGCACTGAGCACGTCTTCCGGCCTGGGTGAGTCAGAGCGTGGGGGACTCGGGCTCTGGGTGCTGCAGCGGTGGGGGTGGGCAGCCAGGAGCCCTCAGGCCACCCCCAGGACTGGGGGTGGGGGGGCATGGCTCTTCCTTGCGGTTCTTGCTGAGGGTCCTTCCTGTGGTGACGCCGGGAAGCCCCTTCCCCAGATTCTTGGCTCCCTTGGCTCCAGGGCTGGAAGGCTCTGGGCTCTGGGCTGGGAGCTGTGGGACTGACTTGCCGATGCCCCACCTCTTTAGCCGCAGGGTGTGTGCTGTCGGGGCTCCCAGGGGCCCCGAGTCAGAGTCTTTCGTGCAGCGAGTGTACCAACCCTTCCTCACCACCTGTGACGGGCACCGAGCCTGCAGCACCTACCGGTGAGCGCCCCCTGCCCCCTGCAGCGCCCCCGCCTGCCACACATCAGCCCTGAGCCCCAGGAGGGCCATGCACCCCAAGGTGGGAAACCCGGGCCCACGTCCAAGTGGATGGCGGAGGCTGATGCCTGTTTTGACTCAGGCAGTCTCGGTCCCAGGATGTGGCTGTAGTAATCTCAGACGTCACCCCGTCCTGCTCTTCCACCCTCATCTTTGCGGGGCTCGCCCAGCCTGTCCGCTACCCTCTGCTTTCGGGGTGCTGGCTGTAAGTTCTTATCCATTTGAGATGATCCCTGCCTCGCCAGAACCTGCCCCTGAGCTCCGGCGGGCACCCCTCCCCCCATGACAGCCCCCGATGGTCACAGGTGGGGACTGTAATGCTGCACCCCCAGGCCGCCCCCGCACCCAGCCGACCGCCAGCATGAGGGGCGTGGGTCTCCTCCGGCTCAGCTGTGGAAACGTGGCTTAAAGAGATTTCGTGGTCTGTGGGGTCTTCGGAGACCTTCCTGTGGGATATGCCCCTGCTGGCCAAGAAGGTGGGGGCGGAGGGGGTGGGGCCCATCGAGGGGCGGGGCCCTGTTCCCTGCCCCTTTCACTAAGCCGGCAGGCCAAGGAGGGGTCAGTAAAGCCCCGTTAGTGAGCGCCCCTTCCCCACCTGCGCAGGGGAGGGGCCGGGAGTCCAGGACTCCGAGGCTGCCCATGGCTTGAGCAGGGCTGGTAGGGAGCGCCCTCAGCGTCCAGGGGCCCAGTGCCCAGGGAGGGAAGGTGGGGTGAGGAACTGGGGAGCCCGGCCGGTACTGCTGATGACTCCCTGCCCTACCCACCCCACAGGACCGTCTACAGGACTGCCTACCGCCGCAGCCCTGGGCCGGCCGCCCCCAGGCCTCGCTACGCCTGCTGCCCCGGCTGGAAGAGGACCAGCGGGCTCCCCAGGGCCTGTGGAGCAGGTGAGAGGTGCAGGGCCTTCCCCGGCTGCCCCCCTGCAGGGCCCTGGGGACCCCCCTCCGTTTGTGACAGGCCTCCCCCTCAACAGCAATATGCCAGCCACCGTGCCAGAACGGAGGGAGCTGTGTCCAGCCAGGCCGCTGTCACTGCCCTGCAGGATGGCAGGGTGACACCTGCCAGACAGGTGAGGCTGCCTCCCGTCCTCCCGGAGGGGAAGGGTCCTCTGGGCCCCTCGCTGGGTGTCGGGGGTGGCCCACGAACAGGCGGGTGTTGAGGGGGCCCAGTGTGGATGCCACTCCCTAGCTGACACCCCTTTTTCTGCAGACGTGGACGAGTGCAGGGCTGGAGGGGGCACCTGTCCCCAGCACTGCGTCAACACCGCGGGTAGTTACTGGTGCTGGTGTTGGGAAGGGCACAGCCCATCTGCAGATGGTGTGCTCTGTCTGCCCAAGACAGGGGCCCCCAGGGTAGCCCCGAACCCCACAACAGGTAAACTTCCCACATGCCCCCCCATCCTTGCTGCCGTGCCTGGGAGGAGGGCCGGGCAGGGCCTGGGGAGGGGGTGGGCATCACCCTGCACGTCTGTGCTGGGTGCAGTGGGGGCTGCCGGAGGCCTCCCGCCCTGGGCTGCAGGCCATCTCCCTGACCCGGGCCTAAGTGGGGATCTTCCCCAGGGGACAGATGGGCGGTGCTTTCTTGGGGGCATTGTGGGGGAGGGTTGCCGAGAGGGGCTCATCTCAGCCGGGAGAGGGGAAGACATGCCCCGGGGTCCTCTCCGTGTCCCTGCCCCCACAGCCAGGAGACGCCACACCTCCGCTGACGACGGGACATTATTACTTTTGGTACGCGCTGTGACACTTCAAACTCGTACCGTGAGTAATAATGCGCTGTCGGCAGCCTGGCACCAAGAGCTCGACGTGGACCTCGGCTTGGACGGCTCAGCACCGCGGGGACCCTGGCGCCGAGGGGCGGGGCAGGGCGCACCTGCCGGGTCAGGGCCTGCTGACGTGGCCGGGCCGCCTGCCAGACCTCAGGCCAGCCTCGCTGCCTAGAATGGGCGTGGGTCTTGAGCCCGGTCTCCACGGCTGTGCCCTGCGCTTGGCCGAGGCCGAGAGGCCTCTGCGTGGGGAGAAGCCGGCCTGGGGTGTGGGGTGTGGAGCGGGGCCTGCCTGATCAGGGCTGGGATCTCCCCAGGCGTGGACAGCGCAGTCGAGGAGGAAGTGCAGAGACTTCGGTCAAGGGTGGACGTGCTGGAGCAGGTGAGGCCTGCCCCCCGCCCATCGTCTCCTGTGGTGTAGCTCAGACCCTCAGGGTGGTTGTGGGGTTCCGTGGGGGTGGCCCCGGGAAGGAGGCCTCCTGGGCACTGACAGCCCAGGCCGGGCAGGGCTAGCAGGCCCGGGGGCCCCAGGACAGGAGGGCCAAGCTTGGCCGTGCCCCCCACAGGCAGCAGAGTGCCTGAAGCCAGGTCCAGCCCACCCCTACCTACCTTTGTCCCTGCGGCCTTTCTATGGGGCCGTTGGCCTGAGGACCCCTTGGAAGCTCCGGTTCCCCCCCCAGCCCCTCTGACCCGGGACCCCAGGCTTTGGAGACCACTGCAGGGCCGGTCACGAGGTGTCCATTGGCCCGTGCCCCCCCACCCCCGGCTCTCCTGGCACAGATGCTCCCTCTGGTGGACGTCCAGGGCCCTGCAGAGCCCTTACAGGCCACAGGGTTCCCTGAAAGCCTTGTGGAACAGAGAGGGTCCCTTCCGCCCACAGAAGCTGCAGCTGGTGCTGGCCCCGCTACATAGCTTGGCCTCGAGGGCCCTGGAGCATGGGCTCCCGGACCCCAGCAGCCTCCTGGCGCATTCCCTGCAGCAGCTGGACCGCATCGACTCTCTGAGCGAGCAGATCTCCCTCCTGGAGGAGCAGCTGGGGTCCTGTGAGTGCCACCCGGGAGCCTGGGACCTGGGAGAAGGAAGGTGGTGGGGAGCCGCGGCCTCTGACCTCAGCCCTTTGTCCGTCCGCAGGTTCCTGCGAGAAGGAGCTGTAACAGGCGGCCCGGGCCCCTGGCCCTGGCTATTGGGAGCCTTGCCCACTGCGCTAGGTCGGGCCGGAGGGGGACTTCGCGCCAAGGCGGGGCAGGAGGAGGGGTCCCCCTGGGTGTGATCCAGCCCCAGCCCGGCCAGCACCAGTGAGGGGGGCCGTGGCTCAGGGGAGGTACGAGGGTCTTGCTCGCCGGGCAGCATGTTGGGGGCACCTCTGCTCCGTGTCAGAATAAAATGAAGGTTCAGGCGCTGCTGTGTCCTTGGTGGATTCTGGAGGGCATCCTGAGGCTGATGGGGGGCCACCTGCTGACTGGCAGGAGGGCAGAGGGGCAGCCGTGGGGCACAGAGGAGGGCTCCAGCCACACTGGACCCTCCTCCTACACGGGCTCTTGGTCCTCCCTCTCCACAAGGGGCTAGAGCCGGTGGTTTCTGCGACGGCGAGTCTGGCCTCTCGGTGATAAGCTCCGGCCAGCGGCCAGAGAGCAAATCTGACCCCCAGCGTGCCCGCCGCCCAGTTCAGGGGACATCCCCACCCCCGGAAAACTACCGCAGGATGATCGCGGGCCTGGTCCTGGAGGGGGGCACTGCAGGGGGCGTGGAGTGCTCCCTGGAGGCGGCGAGGACAGCCCTGAGCGCTGTACCGCCCCGCCCACCCCGAGTGACCACAGCTCACCAGGTGCTTCCGAGGGTTCATTTATTAAAAAACACTGACGGCGTGCAGTGCCTGTTTGGCCGGCTTGCTCCCAAGGCCAGCGGAGCAAGGACCTCTGCTGTGTGGCTCTCCCTGGGCCCAGGTTGTACAAGACCGGGTGTCCAGCCACCCCCCCTACCCCCCCGCAGAGTCCCATTTCTCCCAGAGGGCCGGCCGCCCAGCCGGCCTCCACGCCCCACAGGCCCAGGCAGGAGGGTGGAGCGTCTCAGCCCTGGCCATTCGTCCCGAGGCCCTGCCTGTCGGCCCAGCTGGTCCTTCGCCTGCTCCCGAGTCCGAGAGGCACAAGTGTGGGCTTCTAGGGAAGGTTCCAGCTGACTCTCCTTTTGGGGGGACATCCGAGGCCAATGACAGGAGGCAGCCTCCTGCATCCAGGGCCCGAATGAAAGCGGGGGGATCCTCGGGAGCAGGACACAGTGATATTTAGCAGCCGGGGCAGGGGAAGAGGTTCCTCTGTCCCTTCTCCAGCCAGGTCCTGTCCCCGGCCCGCCCCATCCTGTCCCCAGGTCCTGCCCCACCCCAGGCCTCGGCTACTGGGCTGGCTGGCAACCAGGCCCTGCAGTTTCCCCGTTCTCCTGGGGTGTCTTGGATATGCGGAGGAAGGTGGTCCTCATGGCCTGGTAGCAGGTATCCATCAGCTTGGGGACATCGGCAACAGTGAGACCACTGGTGGGGATGGCATCCAGCACCTCCACCTTGATCGTTCCTGTTGGGGGCAGAGCATCAGTGGCCTGGGGCCCCCACCCGTGCCCACTGTCCTGGCGCCCAAGCTGCGGCCTGTCCTTGCTCCGGCACCAGCTGAACCCCCTTCCTCCTCCTCCTCGGCCACCTACCGGCCGTCCCTGGACACCCTGGTCTCAGGTGGTTGGTTTTTAACTGAGAATGATCAGTACAAGCACACCCAGAGCTCCTGAGTCCGCGCGTGGTAGGTTCTGACAGCCGTACTCCCCTGTGAGCTCCACCCAAGGTACAGAACTTTCCTCCCCCAGAAGGTGCCCCCTGCCTCCTCCCAGGCACCCACACCCACCATTCTACTTCCATCCTCCACCATGGTCTGGGGGGCCAAGGGTCTCAGATATGGGGGGCGGGGGGACACAGCTCGGCTCCTCCCCTCCCCGCCCCGCTGCCCTTCAACCTTTGACCCCACCTTCCTACCCAGGCACCAGGTGCCCACATTCGGGATCTGGACGGAAGGGTAGTGGCCCCAAGCTCCACGGCTGGTGGGCATGGGGGTACCCGGGAGGCTGCTGCCCAGCTTGGGCCTACGCGTGTGAGCTCGGGCACCTAACCCTCCCTCTGCTGGGATTCCAGATCCCTTCCTTCCTTCACTCACCAAATGATCACTGGCCTACAGGAACCACCCAGAAAGGGGAACTACCCTACGAGGGGCCCGGGCATCCCCGTGACTGAGGATGAGACTCGCCCGCGGGTGTGCCCAGGTGGTGGGGTGCTACCTGAGCTGAAGAGCTTCGTCTTGGGGTTGTAGAAGGAGGAGAAGCTGGAGTATATCACGGGGATGATAGGCACCTGTGGACAGAGCCGTGGCGCCTGAGGACACACGGAAGCCCACCCCAGCCCACCCTGAGCCCCAAGGATGAGCTGGTGGGGGGAGCCCTGCCTTGCCACTTGCCTGCCTTCTGCCTAACGAGGTCCTGGGAGTGCCTGCGGCTACAGGACAGGCAAGGTGACCGGCCTCAGGCCCCTTCCACGCATGACCCCAGGGCCTGGGACACCTTTCATGCCCTGCGTTAATGATCACCCCCAGGGGCCGTTTCTGACCCTGGTGTCTTGCAAGAAAACGAGCAGGCCCTGCCCCCTCCCCGGCTATAGCTGCCCCCAGCATTCCATAAACTCATCCTACACATCATCACTCAAGCGTCCCCTTCACCAGGAAGCCTTCCTGGCCGGCACATGTCCCTATGACCCACATCTGTGCCCCCACTGGGTCCTAAGTTTGCGCGGGGGGGCAGGGCCCTGTACAGTTTAGCTGGAGGTTACTGAGGTCCTTCTGCCCACCCCTCCCCCATCCTGGGGGGGCAGGGGGCAGCTGTAGCCAGGGAGGGGACAGGGTCTGCTGGTATTCCTGGAAGACACCAGGGTCAGAAACGGCCCCTGGGGGTGATCATTAACCCTGGCGGTCAGGGAGCCTCTCCCTGGTACCAGCAGGGGCACAGGCTTGGAACACAGGGAGGCGACAGGCTGGGAGGCCCCCGGGGAGACAGGGAGGAGGGGAGCAGAGAGGACAGGGAATGCTGTCCAGTCTCCTGGCTGAGGCTGCGCTACCCCAGCCCCACCAGAGCCTCTGCAGCGTCCTCTCTCCTCTCCCACGAGCCCCATGTCCCATACCACCAGCAAAAGGAAAGGACATCAGCCCCAGGTATGCGGCAGGGGTGCCCTCCACCTCCCAGCTGGAGGGGCCGCAGGCCCAGGGGGTGAGAGCTCAAAGCCCAGGCTCCTCCACCCCATTCACCTGCTGCTTCCACGACCCCACAGGGGCGTGAGCTGGGAGCCTCTGGAAGGAGGGCTCGCCCGGCCTTGCTCAGGACCAGACAGCAGGGGGCGCTAGAGGCCACCTGTGCCAGGTGGACGGCCAAGAGCAGACCCCTGCCAGGCACCGCCCAGACCCTAACCGGGCAGGACGAAACCCCTCCCCCCGACTGCAGATGATGACTTTTCCCTGCACGAACTCCCCCAACACAGGACCAGGAGTGGGGCAGAGCACCCTTTAGCCACCAGGAGACACTGCCCCGGGGATGGATGCACCCCCAGTTCTACGGACGTCACCCCCAAGCACCTCCCGGGACAAAGGGCACCTTGGAGCTCAAGGACCAGGAAAGTAGAGGGGCCCACCGCAGAGTCCCAGCTCGCTCTGTGCGGGCCGCCCCCCAGGCCCTGCTCATCTGGCCCCAGCCCACGGTTCTGCAGGACTGGGCAAGCACTCAGCCTTCCCCAGAGAGCCCAGTAAGTAGGCCTGCCACCGCTGCCTCCCCTGGGGGCCCCTGCTGGCCAGCTACCAAGGGGTCTGCCGAAGCTGGGTGCTGGACCCGATCAGCACCAGCCTTGGCGCTCAGAGTGGGCGAAGGGGCCCAAAGAACAGCCCTCCCAGCAGGTCAGAAACCCGGTGTTGGAGGGGTGAGGAGGCCCTGTGCCCGCCCAGTGGGAGGGGGTCCCCGAGCCCCAGTGGCCCCAACCTGACCAGGCCGTCACCTTCGGCTTTAAGTCAACCTGGACCCGCTTCCCTGCCCCGCTAGGAGGGCAGCGCCCTGGCACACCTGGGTCTGGATCGCCAGGTAGAAGGCGCCTTTCTTGAAAGGTAGCAGGTCTCCATTGTCGTTCCGCGTGCCCTCAGGGTAGATCCACACTTTGAGCTGTGGGGGAGACAGGAGGCAGCTGTAGCTGGGTGGGGGGCGCTGGGCCGCCCCCTCCTAAGGAGCCTCCCTTGTCAGCTGAGGCCACCACCGCGAATGCGCGGATGCGGAGGCTCAGCTCCCTACATTTCCACGGGCAGGGGGCTGAGGTGCTGTTGGGCACCTACCGCCGAGTGGGAGTGTTTGCACCGCCAAGCAGGCCCCCAGCCCCACACTCACGTTCTCCCTGACCATGCGCTTGCCCACATCGGCCATCACGGTCATGGCAGTCCTGGAGTGCTGCCGGTTGATGAAGAAGATGCCCCCGAGGTACATGATCAGGCCCACGGGCCCCAAGAAGATCAGTTCCCGCTTGGCGATCTGCACGCAGCGCTCAGGTAGGACCTCCATCAGGCCTGCAGGTGGCCATGGGCACCAGGCAGGAAGGGTCAGGCTCAGAGCCTGGCAGCCACCTCCCCAAGGAGGAGAGAGCCAGCCCTGTGCCTGGACCACCAACAGGCCTGGGCGGGGTCATGCCTTCCCACTGGCCACCCGGCCAGGTCATGTGGCCTCTCGGCCTGCTTCCCGCCTGTAGAGGGAGCGGCGAAGCCGAGCTCCCAGCCGCTGGGGTGAGGATGGCAGAGCCCCGTACCCAGCATCAGGCACACACAGCTTTGTCATGTGGCTGGAGGGAGGCACGGGTCCCCCTGGCCTGGGTCAGCCCTGCTTTCCCAGGTCATCTGGGCCCAGGATCCAGCTCTCTGAAGCACCCCTCCCTCTCCCCGCAAGAGACCAGGGCAGTGTCCCAGGCCGGGCCTGCAGCCAGGAAGGGCCAGCTCTCCCACCAACCCCTCTGCGCCCTGGCTTACCCATCATGTCCAGGATGCTCTGGTGGTTAGAAATGATGACACAGGGGTGGTCCACCTCCAGCTTCTGGAGACCCTTTATCTCAAAACGAAGGCCGAATATGTACTTAAACTTTGAGACAAACCATCTGATGATCCTGAGAAGAGAGAATGTCAGTGAGCAGGGCCCCCCTGCCCTGCACCCCGTCTTGGGCTCTGGCCTGGAACAGACCCAGCAGACGGAGCCCCGGCTGGCCCTCTTCGTGGGCAGCTGGCGGGACCCTGAGTTCACCTTCCCCTCCAGGAGCCATCAGGTCCTGTCCCTCAAGGGGTCAGCGAGTGCGGCCGGGTCTCCTGCCACTCTGGTGGGAACAGGGAAGATCACGGACAGAAAGGTGCGAAGCCTCCAGGGATGGACACCTGGCAAAGGGGAGGCCGCCCTCTGCTGCATCTGCTTTGCGAGTACCTGCCGTGCGGCCCTGCCCTCACCCCACACCCCTGCGGGCTCATCCAGGGGCAGCTGCAAGGGGACTGGAGGCTGAGAGCCCCCGGAGGGCTGGGCTAGGTCTGGTTCTCGGCTGTCAGCAACGAAAAACCCTACGTGGAGGGGCGCCCGGCTGGCTCAGTCGGGGGAGCGTGCAATTCCTGATCTCGGGGTTATAGGTTCGAGCCTCACGTTAGGTGGCGAGATGACTTATAAAATCTTTAAAAAATAATAAAATAAAACCCAACAGAGAGAGAGGGATCCCTGCACCCCTGCAGAGGAGGGGGGCCCCCACCCGCAGGCTCTGGGGAAGGAGACCCTGCAGGGCAGTGCCACACAGGGAAGAAGGCATCCACAGCAAGTGGAGACCTTCGCAGGGGCTGACGACTGCTCAGGAACAAGCGGGAGCGCCGCCCGCGATGAGAGGAGCGCGCCCAGGCTGGGCTTGCACCCCTCACCCCTGTCCTACTGAGCAATCCCACCGTCCCCTTCTCCCGGGCCTACAGAGCGCAAATAACCTGCCCCAGGGGAAGGCAGAGGAGGGGAGCCAGGGTGTGAGGGGCCTGGGCCTCCCCTGCTTGGAGGTCCACGCCCTTCCAGCCCCCGTGCCTGCGGGGGGCTGCCCTAGGGCATCGGCGACCTTCGGGGGCTGCCTCCAAGCAGCACAGGTGGGCGTGAGTGGCTATGGGCGCAGGGACGTGTCTGCAGGCGCTGCTGGCCTTGGAGGACGCCGCGGGGCCCAGGGCTCTACCTGGGACGGGCTCCAGTAGGGGTCAGCCTGCGGGGCGAGGCTCCGAGCCCTCTAACTCCCCGCAGGGCCCCAGTCCGCCCCATCCCCTGTGGGTGGCTGACCCACCAGTGACCCAGAACTGTTCCACTTCTCACAGGTTTGGGCAGCACCCCCAGCCCCTCAGGTATCTGAGCCCCTCAACAGCGTTCACAGCAAGGGAGGGATTTCCCATTTTATACACAAGGGTGAGTAACTGCCCCAGGCCCGGAGATGGCCCTTAAGACAGCAGACTCAGTACTGGCTCAAAGCCAGACTCCGTTTTTTTTTTAAATTGTCATAAAATGCACATGACCCAAAATGTACCCTTCTAACTGCTGTCCAGTGCACAGCTCAGGGGCGTCAGCGCATGCACGCTGAGCCGTCCCCTCCATCCGTCCCCAGAACATGCTCCTCTTCCCAGACTGGACTCTGTCCCGTTACACACGGACCCCCTTCCCCCAGCCCCTGCCCCCTGCGTCTGTGGATCCGACTCCTTTCAGGCCTCCTGGGAGTGGATCCCTCAGGATCTGTCCTTCTGGATCTGAAAGCCAGCCTCTCACTCAGCTGCCCCTTTCACAGAACAGAACCCCCGTGGGAGGGCAGCTCTCCCATCATCCCATGCTGCAGATGGGGACACTGAGGCTCAGGGAGGCGCGTTCGCACGATTAGACCGGCCATCCTTCCCTGGACCTGCCAGCCTCGGCCTGCTCAGGCCAGACCTGCCCATTTGTCCCTTCCCGCCCTGGGACCTGTGTCCCAGCAGGCCCTGGATACAGGCTGAGCGAGCTGACTGGCTGCTTCACCTCTGCGGGGCCCCGTTTCTCACCTACAAAGACAGCTTCTCAGTCACTGTGAGGCTTGAAGGGACAAGGAGAGGGCACGGACGGCACTTTATAAAGGAGAGAGATGGAAATGTCCAATAAACATGGAAAATCTTCACTCTCACTAGAAATCAAAGCAACGCACATCGGAACAAGAGCCCTGTTTTCATCCTTTGGGTTGGCTCGGTCCGAAAGAAAAGACCAGTAACAGGAGGGGTTGGCCCGGATGTTGGGAACGGCCGCCGGGGGACAGCAGGTTGGCAGCACCTGGGCAAAGCCGTGCAGAAATCCAGTCCCGGGGCGGATGGGTAGCGCAGTTGGCTGAGCGTCCACTCTTGGTTTTGGCTCAGGTCGTGATCTCAGGGTCGTGGGATCGAGCCCCACGTCGGGCTCCGGGTTCCGCGCTCAGTGGGAAGTCCGCTTCCCCTCTCCCTCTGCCGCTCCCCCGGCTTGTGCTGTCTCTCTCTCTCTCCAATAAATAAATAAATCTTATAAAGAAGGAAGGAAGGAAGGATGGACGGACGGAAGGAAGGAAGAAAAAGAAAGAAAGAAATCTGGTCCCTCTTCCAGGATCTGATCCTAAGGCAGTTATGAGAGGCAGGCCTGCAATCCTCACGTGTGGTCTGAATTAGAAGAATCTGAAGGGCGCCCGGCTGGCTCCTACGGTAGAGCCTGCGACTCTTGATCACAGGGTTGTGAGTTCAAGCCCCACATGGGGGATCTCACCCCACACGGTGGATAAGGATTACTTAAAAATAAAATCTTAAAAAAAAAAGAAAAATCTGAAACCGTCTGAAGGTCCCCCGCTAGGGAGAGAGGCGAAGTAGCGGTCGGATCCACAGCCTGCTGGGGCGGAGACCTGGACACCCCATGCAGCACTGGCCGGTCGCGAGCGCCCCCTACCTGCCGCGGAGGACCCCAGCCACACCTGGATGCGGACCGCCTTCTCTCTGCTGGAGGCGTCTGCTGGCTTCTCTTTCCCTCTTTCAAAATTGTGGCAAAATATGTGTCACATAGAATTTATCTTTTTAATCATTTTTTAAAGATTTTATTTATTTGACACAGAGAGAGCGTGAGCAGTCCCAGCCGAGCAGGGAGCCCGCCGCGGGACTCGATCCCAAGACCCCGGGATCACAACCTGAGCGGAAGGCAGATGCTTCACCGACTGAGCCCCCAGGCGCCCCATCATTTTAATCATTTTTTTAAAGATTTTATTTATTTATTTGAGAGAGACAATGAGAGAGAGCATGAGAGGGAGGAGGGTCAGAGGGAGAAGCAGACTCCCCGCCGAGCAGGGAGCCCGATGCGGGACTCGATCCCGGGACTCCAGGATCACGACCTGAGCCGAAGGCAGTCGCTTAACCAACTGAGCCACCCAGGCGCCCCATTTTAATCATTTTTAAATGTCCGGTTCAGTGGCGTGAAATCCACCCACACTGCTGTGCGACCGTCCCCACCATCCGTCTCCAGGACTCTTCTCTCTTTCCTGTTTGGATTTCTTTGTGTATCTGACGTAAGGGATTGACCATAGGCCATGGGAGATGCCGTGCACAGACCCCCGGCAGTGGGCAGCGCGAGGGCGGCCGGCCCGGAGGGAGCAGCGTGCTCTGCACACTCACACGAGGAGTGCGTCCACGCGGACTAGAACACGCACCAGCTGCAGTGGCTACAGCAGGCTGCCAGTGGTCGTCCTCAATGGGACAAAGCAGTCTCTGCAGTCCGCACACACGCGGACGCCCAGCCACCTGTCCTTTTCCCGACGTCACACAGTTTCAAGGTTTTTTGTAAAAGTGGTAGGAAAGTCCATCATTTTCACAGTTTCCTCAATGTGGAAGGAAGCAAACCAAGCTTTGCAGCGGCTCCTGCAGACCGTAGGCTGCCAGGGACAGAGAGCCAGGGGTCCTTGCCCAGGAGAGCGGAGTGCACTTTCCACGGGAGGTCGGGAGGGGGGCGGGTGGGGACACCTCCATCCCCCAGGCCTGCGCAGCACCTGCTGTGTGCCGAGGGCGGGACAGGAAGCCTCACTTTTTGTTCAGAGAGCAACCCCACCAGGTGGGGACACTCCGATGAGGGGCCTACGCGAAGCGGTTAAGTGACTTGCCCAAGGTCATGCAGCAGGGAAGCCAAGGTGGGCCGGAACCCACCTCCTTACCTGGTTTTTGGAAAACAAGTGAAAAATGCCAGGCAAGGGGCATACCGGGGGTGGGGTGGGATGGGGCGAAGACCCAGGACTGCAAGATGGCATTCCAGAATTGCAGAAGCAAATCCCTCCCCCTTCCCTGAGGCTCTGCAGACCCCGCCCAGCGCCCCCGCAGGACTGGAGGCCGCCCGTGCCCTCAGCCAGCCCACAGCAGCCTCCACCATCCTGAGCACGGGCCCCACTGTGCCCACAGCCCACCTTACCTGAGTGCCCCTCCACCAGCCGCAGGGCTCAGGGGGGCTGCCCCCTCGGGAGCCAGGGCCCCAAAACTTGGAGCAGGTGTCCCTGGCGCTGGCCCCGGGACATGGGCACACAGCTCTGGCTGCCGCCCTACCCCCTCTAGCCCCCAAACCCCCAGGGAGGCTAGCGGGGTGCAGCCAAGGCCGCCTGAAGCCCAAGAGGCCTGGGGGAGCATTGAGTGCCTGGCACAGCATTCCAGAAGCACCCAGCAGCGGCCAGATGGGTGACTGGTACCACCTTTTCCCACCTCTAGGCCCCCAGAGCAGGACCGTTCCTCAAGCCAATGGGATGTGCTGGCCCTGCCTGGATCTTTCTCAGGAGCCCTCTATTTAACCCCAGTCACGAACCGCCGAGACCGCCTGAGCGCTATAAACACCATGGATCCTTCCAGCGCCCACGGGAGCCCAGGCTCACTCTGGTCAGCCAGCCTCCTTGGACCTTCCGTGTTCAGCCTGAGGACCCCCGGGCCCTTCCCAAGCTCTGAGTGAGCTCGCTGGCCATGACCTTGGGCATTGCCCTTGACCCCACCCCCTCTAAGCTTCCATTCCTGCCTGTGAAAAGGGGAAGGGCGTGGAGATTGAGCCGTTGAGGCTGGGACCCTGGGAGCAACCACAGTGATAATGTCACAAGCAGATAAGAAGAATCCACAAAGTAGGCGGGACACGTGCCCCAGGCCACCCGCCCCTCCCCCAGCCAGCACGGGCTCCAGGCAGCTGGAAGGAAGTTCAAGGCCAGGCCGTGGCCACCTGCTGACCTTTGCCCTCAGCCCCTGGCCTGGAGCTAAGTTGCTCCCAGATCTGGGCGGCTGTTTCGGCTGAGGCATGCCAGTCCTCAGCCAGACCCCTCTGGATGTGCCCCAGAGAGCAGGGGTTCCGGGTGGGGCCCACCTGGGGGCAGCCCTGCCAGGAAGGCCACACAGAGCCATTGATCTGCTCAGGGGACAGGAGCTGCCCAGAAGCCCGGAGGTGGTAAGAGGGGCTGTGTGGCAATGGGGTGAAAGCAGGGGGCCGGAAGGGGGAGGGGCCAGCAAGCCCTCAGTCCTGACCCAGGATCCCCAGGGCTCTGGGGAGTTCTGGTTTCTGGGCCTGCAATAGCACATCCGGGGGAGGGAGTCTGCCCCTGGCCATCCTACTCCAAGAAAAACAAAGGCAGACTTTCCTGCAAAACCGGGATCCCCTGCCAGCCCCCATGAGCCACAGGGCTCCCTGAATGCACTCCGTCCCCATCCGTGCACCCCCCAGGAGCACACAGCAGCTGGCAGCTCTGGCTAAGAGGCTGGGCTGTCCTGGGTTCAAATCCCACCCAGCATCGATAAGCCCCCTGGTCTCTGGCCTAAACAATGCCCATTCTTCCCTCTTTGAGGTTCCTCAGGAGCTGCACAAATGGAGTGCCTCGCTACCCCACCTCCCTTGAAGCCAAGAGCCTTGCCACCCAGGGCCTGGCCATTCCGATGGACTCATGCAGTCCAGCCCCCAGAGGCCCTGCCACGGTAGTGGATGCATACCGGCCCCTGAGCGTGGTGGAGCCACAGGATGGAGAAGCTGGAACCTTCTGCAGGACCTGGGCCGCCCACCTCCGGTCTCCTTCGATGCACGAGAAAGTCTCGTGGAGAAGCTGCTGTCGCTAGGGGTCCCGATCCTGCAGCCGAACCTAATCCTCACACACACAGCTGGGCTTCACCCTTGTCTCTGTCAAATGGCTGTACTAAGGGCATCTGCCTCGTGGGGCGAGGAAACAGGGCCTAATACTCCACCGTAGCCCAGCCCGGAGAACACAACCAGCCTGGGAGGGATCTTTGGTCTCGGGCCCCCAGTGGGTCAGAGGGTCAGCTCTTCTGTTCCCATCACTGTTCCCTGCACGCTCGGAACTGGAGTCCAACAGGCAAAAGCCTCCTTGGGCCACTGCCCAGAGCCCCGTGGGGAGGGGCCCCTGCTGCTCCGGGGGAAGGCAGCAAAGCAGGGGAGGGGGCAGAGCAGGGCTGCCCCCGGCAGAGCTCCCGGCACCCCAGACCCAGGGCTCCAGTCCCTGTCAGCACCACGGCCCCTAGTGCTGGCGGGCACAGAGGGAACGTACGAAGCACACACTCTGGAGGCCCTCCCAGGGGGTCTGCACCCCAGCTCCGCCACGTCTTAGCTCTGGCACCCCGGGCAACCGCCTCCTCCCTCCCCGCCCCCCCACCGGGAGGCCTTAGCTTCAGCCGGCACCTCCAACTCCTCATCAGAGCAATGAAGCACACAATATGCCCAGCCCCACAGTGAGGTAGACACCGTGGCGTCGAGCGAGGCGGGCCACCTTCCAGAAGTCAGGGCGGGGCTGGCGAGAAGAGCAGCCAGGGTGCTCAGGGGTCCGGGAAAGACTGCTGAGTGAGGCCAAGGCATGTCCCAGCCCCTCCGCGGAGGGGTCTGCAGGGAGGGGGTAGGGAGCCCGTCCGCTCAGCCCTCCGGCACCTCCACCCACCCTCCACCCATCCTCCCTGTCCCCCCAGCCTGCCAGGTCCAGCCACCAAATCAGAAAGGGCCTGGTAACTTCTGATTTGACCCCTGGGAAGCAGCTTTGAAGTCTGAGTCAGTCCTTTTAAAAGACAAGGAAGCTGCTTGTAAAGAGGCCACCTGATGACACAGTTAGGGGAAGAGGAGGGTCACCTCCTGGCTCTGTCACCTCTGCTGAAAACCTGCTCTGGGGCCAATTCTCCCCCTGCTTCCCCCTCCTGACGCCTCAGAACCACACATGCCGTCCCGGGTCTGGCTCTAGTAGGGCAGCACCACCTCCAAGAAGCCCACTGGCCTGTGGGTCCCGGAACCCACACCCCTCCTCCGGCTCAGAGGCCAGCCCCCAGCAAGTGCTGAGCCGAGGCTCCTGCTGCCCACTGGGGACTCCAGGACCGCAACTCAGGCCCGGCCTTCAGAGACGTGCACGGCCTCAGGCATCCCTGCCCTGGAGTGGTGGGGGCCCAGCTTTGAGGAACCCCCTGCAAACAGGTCCTCCCCTCCCCAGGGGCACTCCACGCGGGGAAGACAGCCAGTAGGATCACACCTGGGCTGTCCCTGGGGTCCGCCGCACTCCCTGGGATGTTGGCCCGGGCCATGCTGGTGCTGGGCAGGGGACACCACAGACCCACTGAGCACGCTCCACTCTGAGTCCTCACCTACTCTGGGTAGGAAAGCCACAAACCCCTAAAGACAAGGCTTGGACGGCCCACGCCGTGTGGGCCAGTCCCAGCAGCATCGGCTGGTGTGGATGGACAAGGACAGAGGAGGCGGGAAGTCAGCAACCCTCACCCACTGCCCTGTAACCACACAGGGGGCAGGGACCTCAGGGACCACAGTATCCTCACGGCAGGCCACAGCCAAGAAGCTGTTGCAAAAGCCACAGAGATAAGTATTACCAACAGCTGCCCTGGGATCAGACAAGAGAGACAGGGCAGGAAGAAGCCCCCGCCCCTTAGCCTCTGACCCAAAGAGACCCCCCACTCTTCAGCCGGGCTTGACCTCCCTACCCCCCACCCACCAGCCCATAACATCATACTGCCCAGCTCAGGGAGGTGTCCACAGAAAAATTCCAGCCACCCCTCCCTTCCTTCCACCCTGAGGCTGGACCTCAGGGGCCAAACCCACCCTTCCCACTCAGGAGCCTCCTACCTTCTTAGCAGGACCCGCAGGGAAGGAAAGGAAGTCAGCCCCAGGGGCGATCACAGGTGCGGGTGGGTGAGAGGGGGTGCAGAGAAGGCAGGGACCCCCGGGGCTCTAAAGCGCCTCTTCCAGGCCGGGGCGGTGCTCCAGCAAAGCCCCCCCTGGGGCAAGCCCCGCAGTCCGACCCGCTCTTTCCCCGCGGGTGGAGCAGGACTGCGCCTCTCCCAGCCGGCCCAGGGCCGCTCCGCCACCCCCCAGCCGGCGCCCCGAACGCCCTGCGGGTCCCGCGGGGCCCTTGGCGGGGCGGAAGGACGCGGCGGCGCTGGAGACCGAGACCTTTTTAAGTCCCTCGGTGTCTGCGCCCGGGCCGGGGCCTCCGGGCCCGCGCACGGGCACATTGTGACGTGGGGTCCCGCGGACCCGCGCGCGCCGCCCGAGAGCCCCGAGAGCCACAGGCGGGGCAGGAAGGAGGGACAGGAGAG